CCTGAATCCTGAATCCTGAATCCTGAATCCTGAATCCTGAATCCTGAATCCTGAATCCCAAATCCTGAATTCTAAATCCTGAATCCTGAATCCTAAATCCTGAATCCTAAATCCTGAATTCTGAATCCTAAATCCTAAATCCTAAATCCTGAATCCTGAATCCTAAATCCTAAATCCTGAATCCTGAATCCTAAATCCTGAATTCTGAATTCTGAATCCTGAATTCTGAATCCTAAATCCTAAATCCTGAATCGTGAATCCTAAATCCTGAATCCTGAATCCTAAATCCTAAATCCTGAATCCTAAGTGCACTTTTCTGATTGTTCCTTTCTTTGGCAGAGTGATAATAACAGATCTATTATTGCTGTAATGATCAATGTGCTTTTTCAAAATATTTTTAAAAAAATAATGTTTTATACAAATCACGGTTACTCATCACAAATCATGCTGAAAACATCATACATTAAATTAACGTAAAGTGAAACCATATGTATATGAATTTAATATCTGTAATAGCTGTAAACAATTAACATGACTTGAAAACAAAAATGTTTTACATCATATATATTTACTTAGCTTGTCTGTTTGTTTGTTTGTCTGTCCGTTTGTATCCAATAAACATCAAAACGGCTATACTGATCGGGCTTAAAAATTTTTTTTAGTTAGAAGTCTATAAATTATCAAAAATGAAGAGTGGGGGGTGGGGGGAGCTATAAATGAATTTAATTCCCTGAAAGGATTAGAGTTTAGAGACGACTTTAGGAATGAATTACGCCATGTTCTTAGTTCCCTGTAATTTCTGACTTCTGACTTAAGCTGATAATCAGTTCTCTTCTTGTTTATTTTTACAACTTTAGACAGGGCCATCAGCTGATTAGGATTTGATAAGGAAACATTTAATTCAGTTTTTATTCAGTTGCTATCACAGTGTTTGTTATCGAGCTATCAATATTTGTTACTATTTTGCTAGTTAAGTTTTATAATGTCACATATAGAAGATACTAGGCTTTCAGGGCGCTTCACGCCAATTTTTTATCTTAATTGTGAACATTTTCTCTTTTTATACATTTTAAAACAAAAAAGTCGTGTATTTAATAAAAAAAACATTCGTGGATTTTTAAAAATTCTATGATTTTTCTTTAAAAGAGAATGCCGCATTAAAACTTGAGCGACAACAAAGGAAATTCAGTTCAATTCAACACTTTTAAGTTAGAAAATTTCTGATATCTTCCTTCTTGTTACTCAGATGGAAGTTTTTTATTAACAATTATTATTAAATTAAAATTTTTTTAAAGAAAATTTTAAAAAGAGCGGTTAATTTTTTCTCTGACTGTAATAGCTTCTTTTTCGCTGATCATACATCTGCTTCATGGGCAGCCGTAGTACATTTGAATTTCCTAGCCGGGTCAACCTTTCCGGTTCCAGTTTTTACTGTATCGCCCGGACATTGGGTAAATAATAGGACTAGCCGGTGAACCAAGGTTGACGTGGTCAGACTTTAGGTTGAATTTACTTTTACTGAAGGTTCAGAGGTGCGTGGCTTTTTATTCCTCTCTTTTAGATTTACGCATTTTAATCCCTTGTAGACATGGGAAAATGCATTTTTCAGTTTTCTGCTTTTCTTTTTCCCTATTACGCCTTTACTATTTTTGTTCCATGCAAAGGTGTCAACTTTCTCTGACAGGTTATGTTGTGGATTGATGATGCAGCTTTTTCATCCAGTTATTGTTCATATTCATTTTATATTTTCTTACAGGTTGGAAAAATAAAAGTCACTGCTAAGCGGGTTTTGAAAATTCTAAGGATTAATTGTCAGAATTCCGCCTTAAAAATGACAAATGGGATAAGGAAGGTTAGGCAAAGAGTGGATATTTTCGACAAAATAATTCTTGATTCTTGTAAGTTCATCTCTAAGATGGAAGTTCAAAAGGCACGTGTGTGACTCGAAAATGCCATTATATAAAAAGAGGGTCACTTAAAATTACGCCCACAGTCTCTTTGAGTTTTATCAGGTTTTTGCTTTGTAATGTTTTTATATTAAATTCTGTAGTCAACATTTTCCTTTTTAACTTTCCGGAGAGGTTTAATGTGTTTAGCTTTACTTACATTATTTTTAAATTTTTAAATTTTATTTTTTGGTTAAGTCAATTATAATTAACCATGAATTTTGGTAAATGAAATAAATCGTTAATGGTGATGATTAAGAATAAAAATGATTATTTTCATTATTATTATTATTAGTATTAGTATTATTATTGGCTATTATCAGATGCAGTATTTTATTCTTTCTGCTTCTTAAAATAGCTGTGTAAAATATGAACAAAGGAATTGAGTCTCTTTGCCTCAAATTCTGCTTTTCTAATTCCTATATCTTTGCAACCAAATGTCGTAGACCTTCGATATTTCAAATAATACATTCTGTTAGATCAACCTTATGAAATATTCTGAGTTTGAAATATCAGAGTTTTTCATCATCAGGTTTCAAAGATGAAGGGATTAGAAAAATTGAGTTTGTGGCAAAGACTCAATTCCGTTTGAAAAAATCTCTGACAACTTCGTTAGAATTCTGTTCGTTTTCTTTAAATGTCAATCAATATGATTTTTATTTGGACAAACTTTTCTTAAGAATTATGTATCTATTTTTAAACTTATATTTAAATAGAAAAATGAACACTTGATGGACCATACGGCGTCGGTATAATTCTTTTTAAAGGTAAAAGTACTTTTTAGGGGTTCAATTTATTCAAACTTATTGTCAAGTTATTGAAGATACATTCTGCTAGATGGTACAATTCCTTTGTGCATTGTATAAAATAGAATAGATTACTTCATTATTAATTTAATGCTTATGAAAACGTTCTTTACATATACAATTTAAATAAAATACATTATTATAATGAACAACTTTAAAAGCTGATAATAGACATAATCATGGTTAATTTAGTTTAGTTCAAAGTAGAATTATTATAATTTTGTCAAAATTATGTTGATAGTTAAAGGGAGTGTTCGCGAAAAATAAAAGGGGGTATAGGCTTAATGCGATAAAAAAGCGCTTTTGATCGCTTCTGATCTTACTTCTATCTGTTGCGTCTATAAGGAGAAAATTGTTAAAGACGTCTCATACCGAATAACTTAGCGTCCATACAAATTGAGAAAATTGCAACATACGACTTAGACCGTAAAAAATCAATTACATTTCAAACAAATCCTTCAGATATTACAACCTATAGTCAGCGATTATCTTTCGCCACATTTGTAAATTGTTTATATTTTATAATCAAAAGCGCTTTTTATCGCATTAAGCCTATACCCCCTTTCATTTTTCGCGAACACTCCCTTTAACACTAAACTTTTTGACACAAATTGTTTACATTGTACTGTACTTTTATTCCTCTTTATGTACAAGCAATGTAGTACAATACAATATATTAAGATGATGAGTTTACTTATTGTAACTGTACTTTATCCCTCTTTATGTACAAGCAATGTAGTACATTACAATATTTTAAGATGTTGAGTTTACTCATTGTACTGTACTATCTCCCTCTTTATGTACAATCAATGTGGTACATTGCAATATATATTTAGATATTGAGTTTACTCATTGTACTCTACTTTATTACTCTTTATGTACAATCAATGTAGTACAATACAATATATATTTAGATGTTGAGTTTGCTCATTGTACTGTACTATTTCCCTCTTCATGTACAAACAATGTTATATTACAATACAATATATATTTAGATGCAGGGTTTACACATTATACTCTTCTTTATCCCTCTTTATGTACAATCAATGTAGTACAATACAATATATATTTATATGTTCAGTTTATTCATTGTACTGTAATTTATTCCTCTTTATGTACAAGCAGTGTAGTACAATACAATATATATTTAGATGTTGAGTTAGCTCATTGTACTATACTTTATCCCTCTTTATGTAAAAGCAATGTGGTACAATACAATATATATTTAGATGTAGGGTTTACACATTGTACTGTACTATCTCCCTCTTTATGTACTAGCAATGTAGTACAATACAATATATTAAGATGTTCAGTTTACTCATTGTACTCTACTTTATCCCTCTTTATGTACAATCAGTGTAGTACAATACAATATATATATTTAGATGTAGGGTTTACACATTGTGCTCTACTTTATCCCTATTTATGTACAAGCATTGTAGTACAATACAATATATTAAGATGTTGAGTTTATTCATTTACTCTACTTTATCCCTCTTTATGTACAAGCAATGTGGTACATTACAATATATATTTAGATGTTGAGTTTACTCATTGTACTGTACTATTTCCCTCTTTATGTACAAACAGAAAAGTCAAGATCTTGCGATGTTTTAATAGGTAAATATTTAATAGGTAAAAATGCGGAAATTCCTAGGAATTATATTTTATAAAACATAAAAATTTTGATTTCAGATTCCTTTTTAAACCAATTAAAAACAAGAAGTGCCAATCTCATTTCGGACAAAATGTCTGTTATATCGAAATGCTCACGATATTTCAATATTGTCTGACAGTCCCCTTAATTCTGCTTGTATTCAGGTATAGATGAGGACTTCTATATCCAGCATGACCGGAACATGACCCAGCTTGTTGATCTTGCTCAAACCCATATAGATAGAGTAAACCAGATTTATCATCAGGTAAAATACTTTTTTATAGTTTTTTAGTTTTTAAGATTTGTTTTATTTTGTTTATTTTGTTGGCTCAGGCCAAAATAGACCTTGAACCCTGTAATGTGGAATTCTTGTTTGGATTCGTCACTTGCCATAAACTTTAATTTTCTCATCCCAATATTTTTGTATCCTGATAGCGGAAACCTTATTATATTTCAAACTTTTTGATGCAGGATAAACTTTTTTTAAATGCCCAGGGGACCCTCTGAACCATTGCTTCTGCTTATCAAGGGGGGCTCACCCCTATTAACCCCCCCCCTTGTGTGCGCCCTGAATGCTATAGTTGATAATTTCTAATATTTCAGGCAGTGTTTGTTGATGACTTTGCAGATATATACTTTCGTCTTGCCAGAGTTCAAGTCATGTTCGGGCCTTGTGCTTCATTCAAGTAAGTCATTTTCGGTATCTGTTCAACTTTTAAGTATCTCATATTCGGTCTCTCTGCACAACAGTCATGTTCGATTTGTGTAAACCTTTTATTTATGTTCGGTCCCTAGAACCTCTTCATGATAGTCATGTTCGGTCCCTAGAACCTCTTCATGATAGTCATGTTCGGTCCCTAGAACCTCTTCATGATAGTCATGTTCGGTCCCTAGAACCTCTTCATGTAAGTTATGTTCGGTCCATAGACATTGTTAATGTTAGGGTAAAGTTTGAGTCAAACATAAAACTTATTTAATAGAGGTTCACTTTAAACAACGTCGATAGATCGTTGAAATGAATATTGTTTGATCATGTTGAATATCTAGGTATGAAAACTGTACTGAAAATCGGGAGAAATTTCTGGAGATTTTTGACCAGTACGATTTCAGGGATTTCTGTCTAGGGTACATGTTCACTAACAGGTACAAAATTGTGTACAAAAAATTTAATTTTGATGGGTTTTTTCCTGTAAAACAGAACTGTTGTCCAAATTGTTTTTTGTTTTGAACATTTGTTACTTAAAACTTTTTTCTTTTTTACTTAACGGTTTTATAATGTGCATGCGTTTATGTATAACTAGCGGGAGTGCCCAGCGTTGTCCGTGGAATTTAAACAAAATTGTGTACCCATGGGTTTCCTCAAAAAAAATCAGCCCATTTGATCCATCTGTTTGGCCAGCTATAGCTAACATACATATATGTATATGAGCGAAGAGCTTTATTATATACATTATAAATGCATAATTCGTAAAGAGTGGACCAACAAACAATATTTGAAATTGTAGAGCACTAAATCATAATTATTGGGATATAATACAAAATCTATGCCATTGGATATAAAAAAGAATTGATATATATCAAAGTCAAGGTTTGATGTAATTTTCTGCGTGGGGTGTCATGCAGTACATTACACATTGGACCCTGAACTTCCTATTTGTAATTGGTTTTTGTAAAGTTGATAGTTGTCAAAGGAGTGAGAAAAACATAGTTATATTTTAAAACTTGGTAAAATTTAGCCTCCTTATTGGTATCATTAAAAATGTTTGAGATACCAAAACATAAACAACCTTGGTTTATTTAATACTTTTAATTTTAGATTATTTACTGAATATTTCAGTCAATTCTTAAGGTACAAAAACGGCAGGCCACATTTTGGAAATCTTAAAACAAGGCGCATTTGATTCTACCGAACTCTTGGGAGGCAATGTTATGCTTACAAGATTTTAACTACAGTATCTCATCATTTCTGTTTACCTCATGGAAGGTGACACATGATAATCCAAGCCTAGAGGCCTGGCCTGGTCGGCAAATACCTAGGCGTTGAAATTCAAGGTCGAGAGGAGAAAATGGTGGCAGTTGCTCATAAGTTTGCAAATGCAATTATTGGACTATCCAGAAATGGTTTAGACAGAGCAATGGCAGCTCATGCCCTTTGGGAAAGATGTGCAATCCCAGCAATACTATACTGTTCAGAAGCAAGGGTGCTTTCAAGGGAGTCGTAGAGAACCTAGACAGGATTCAACACATGGTTGCCAGGTACATTTTGCAATTACTTAAATCCTCAGCAAGAGTTGGAGGAGCCCTAGATGCAGGGTTCATGCAAATGAAAGACAGTGTAGCAATACGCACAGGGATGATCGTCTGGAATATTCTGAATAAGAAACCTGACAAATCCTCAAAGCTGTGTTTGACGCAGTAATGAGGTCTCCGCTTGATCCATGGGCTAGGTCTGATCTGAAAGAAGTGGTGGGGGGTCACCAGTTAGTTGGCCCCAAGATGTTGCTGAAGAGCAGCTTAAAGGATGTAGCAGTTGGTAATGTATTCTCACAGAAGAGAGAGCTATTCTCCTTGGCTTGTATGCCACAACTCGCAAGTGGTTTAAACTCCTGGATCACATAAATGATAGTGCAGAATTACCCACCGTTAACAGGGTTAGGGTAGGTGATGCAGGTTTGGATAACAGGTTAGGTTAGATTACCTATGGGTAAGTTGTACTTACACTGCCCATATTGTCTCTCTAAAGGAGTGGTGACCAAACTGACAGAGCATCATGTAATAGTCTGCGAGAGTGTTGGATATGATTGAACTCAGTTCAAAATCCCTGAATGTCCAGTAAATTCTCCAGGGTCCAAATTTGCACTAAGGAAGTATCTAGGGGGTGACAATGCCAGAGTGCCAGAGTTTTTGGATCACATTCACTGCATCCTAGATCATTGGCAGCTCATCATAACATCATTATAACATCCAGGTAGCTGCTGCTTCACATCTCACTATTGATTGGAGGGTACACTTTCACCATCAGGTTGTATGGCTAGCCATCGTCTGGATTAGGGCTGGGCGCGTTCCTGGTGGAACGATCGTTCTTTCCCAAGAACGAACGGAACGATCAAGAACGATCCCATCGTTCCGAAAAAAAAAACACTTAGAACACGTACTTAAAAATTTTGGAACGATTAGTAAAAGAACGGAACGGGAATTGCTTGAAAAGAACGGTTAAAATTGTTAACCCGTTCTTATTTTCAAGAACGTGTTCTAAGTTGGGAAAGCATTTTAAATCAGAAATGTGTTTCCAGTTCAGATTTTCTCTGTATGTAGTGAACCGAAATTGAAAGATAGAATTATTGTAAATGACATTAGACACAATAATATAGATAGGTAAGTAAGGAGGGGGGGGGGGGAAAAGGGAAAAAATACGGTTATAAAAGGGTAAGAATATAATTATGCGTAAGTATGTGTTGCTAGGTAAAAGTACAAGCGTAAGTAAGGGGATACATGGGTTTAGCCGGCAGGGAGGGGGGGAGAAAAGGAATGGCAAGGATTTAATGCATTACATTCTTGGGAAATGGGAGCTGAAAGGAGAAAAAGGAGAAGGGGGGGGGGGGGAGAATTTAGGTTGAAAAATTGTTTTCTATAATTTATTTCTATATCTTTTTGATATTATTGAAATATTGATTATGAAAATTAAATATTTTTCAAAAATCTCCAAATTGTACACCCCCTTGTTTTAAGGTTACCCAGTTTTAATAATCGTTCTATACTAAGAACGGAACAGAGGGATGGAAACGTTCTTTGACTAAGAAAGGAACGAGAGGGATGGATCCGTTCTTTAAATAAGAACGCCAAGAAGGGAACGGAACGGGAAGACCGTTCTTCTACTCAGAACGGAACGGAACGGAACGGGACGGAACGGAACAATACAAGAAAAAGGGAACGAGAACGGAATGATTTAGCTGAAGGCCCTCGTTCTAGAACGGAAAGGAACGATTTAAAAAAAGTCAGAACGTGCCCAGCCCTAGTCTGGATTGTACCTGCCTTGGTTGATTTCCCTTAGAGTAGGGGGAATGAGATCAGGGTGCCAGATTGAACTGGTAGGGGAATCAGCACTTGACTGAGACCCTTACTTCCATGGGCGGATACAAGGGGGGGCGGGGGGACATTCGCCCCCCCCTGACAGATTCAGGGAGGGGCGTAGCCCCCCCCCCAGATTTTGAGGCAAAAAATGTTCCCAATTTGATAAATGTTATTGTTAACGATAAGTTAAGAATTAGAAATTTGTAAGAAACTAGACTTAAGTTATAATATTGTTCATATCTAGTAATGTTCGTTGATCAATACTCATTTATCAAAATTGTAATATTGTTTCTAATTTTCATGCATTTAAATATAACTAGTAATTTCTTTTGTTCTTAAATTGCTAATGTTCCTATTATTGTTCCTGTTCCTGTGTCCGACCCACCTTAAATCCCTGTCCTATTCCTATATTTTTGTTCCTAATTCCTGAACAATCTGTTTATTGTTCCTAAATCCCTGTCCTAATCCTTTATTTTTGTTCCTAATTCATGAACAATCTTTTTATTGTTCCTAAATTCCTGTCCTAATCCTTTATTTTTGTTCCTAATTCCTGAACATATCTTTTAATTGTTCCTAAATTCCTGTTCTAATCCTTTAATTTTCTTCCTAAAATTTAAAAATCTAGTTTTTTAGTCTTTAGTTATTAATTTTGATCTTTTTGAGTATTTTATTAGTATTATTTCCTAATTATTCATTTTTTTGTTTCTAAAAAATCTTGCCCCCCCCCCCCTCACTTAAATCCTGTATCCGCCCCTGCTTACTTCGGATGGCGGTCTGGGGATTCCACGTTGGGGATTTTCTATGATTTTTTTCTTATCTTATCTTACTCTAGGGCCCAGGATCTACCAAAGTTCTTCTCTGATTTGGACCCTGAACTTAACTTTAAACTTAATGAACAAAAATTAACAGTAGCCATGTTTCGCAACTTCAGATGTTGCCCTAAATTAAATCAGCTAATCTACCATGTAGTGTTTTGTTGGGCCTGACCGTACAAGCTCATCTACTTTTAGATCTCTCCATAATGAAGAAATCAGGGTTAATCTTCAAGTTTTATTAAGGCTCAAAACTTCAATCTAGTAATAAAAAACGAGCTATAGACTGCAGAAAAGCTTTAGATAATTAATCATATTCATCAAACAATCAGAATCATAATCAAACATTCGTCCTTCCGACATTTTACAGGTAATATAAACATATACTATTACAGAGAATAAATGTTTTCCCGCAAATAACACCCATAAACTGGTTAAGGTTCATGTAATACCACGCATTTGCGGGGTATAGAGTACGAACTAGATGAAACTGGTTCTGCAGATCAGCTTCTTCTTAGAAACACTAAATAGAGTTCAGGGGTAAATACCGGCAAATCAGGGATGCTTCATAGACTTCAATCGCACCCTCAGGGATGTGAAACAAGCCAAATAAAATTTTGTTCGAGTGAAACCTTAAATACACTATGCAGAGATTTAAATAATTTCCCAAAAATCCAGGGTCCACTTAGCTATAACAGTTTGAAGCACAACCATATTATATGTACACTGGTCCAGAATAGTATAGATTGGTAGATAAAAGCATATCTATAAGCGGGCCGTGATTTAAGCATTTTAAAAGATCTGGAAATGTAAATTTGAGTAACACTGTAGAATATCCGATTTACAAGGGTACCCAATTACAAGCTTTTTTCTGACAAAGATTTCATGAAAAATAAAATCTTTGTGTTTTTTTTTTTACAAAATGACTCTCGCATTTCTGTTTAAGACAATATTTGGAAGAAATGTTCAGAATCATACACAAATATTTAAATCATTTAAGACATTATTTCAGGCGTACCTTCATGAATCAGGCATGCCACTTTTCTTAATGGATTTAAAGGAACTGTTAGCTGTATCCCTCTATGTAAAGATGGAGGGTCACTTGAAATTACGCTTTGCAGTCCCTTTAATATAGGGTCACTTGAAATTATACAACCATTTATTAAATATTGTTCATTTCCAAAATCCTTTGATTAAAAATTAAACACAAATATTTATTTTTAAATCAACACAGCTAATAATATTTAAATCCTTGGTTTTGTCATTGACTTTGAATAAGCAGATCTACAGAACAAAATATGGTGTGTGTCTCAGATGCCAAATGTTGATTAGTCCTAAGCTCAAACTCTCAAAATAAATT